AATGTGCTCCTTCAATACTTTTATCGAAGTCTAGACTCGGTAAACAAAGGTGTAGCTAACCAAGTCTCGCCTAGAGGATTAATGCAGTAACCATATGCAGTAGCAGCGTAACTTCTTGATGGCATGACAACCATCAACAGGGTGTGGTACACTTGCAAAGATCGAGTCTCACCGGTCACATTTTAGCTATCCAAGGAGCAGGTTGAGAAAGATAATCAGAGAGACCAAAACATGGCCAAGATCATGACACAACCTGACATTTTATCCAAAAACATCATGGGGGATAGTACCCATGGTGTCAATGTTGTGGTATTCCGGGGTGCGAATTCTGAGGAGATGAAGTTTGAAGCCATGTATGATGAGAAAGTAAATTTTCTAGCTAACCAATGCGGGGGCTATCGTTCAAACTACCTAAGGCAGGATGGTATTCAAGGATGGGTTAGAGACGAAGGCTGGAAGGAGCGGGATAGTGAATGGAGGGACCGTAATCCAAATTGGAAGGATGGGGAGAAGGATAGCTATGTGCCTCCCCACGAGCATCAGAAGCCCAAGGACTCGAAATAAGGTAGGTCTGAGGATGTGCTCTAATGTATCCTAAACAAAGTTGAAGGGTCAGACAAAATGCTAAAAGGCATAAAAGAGGACGTGTCTACTCTCAGCCAGACTGTCACCTCTCATTCAGTTTCAATCAAACAATTAGAGACCCAAATAAGTCATATCTTGTCCCATGTCAATCTGAGACAACAAGGGGGTTTTCCTAGTAATATTATGGCTAACCCCAAGAGAGAAGTCTGAAGGTTAACCTGCGTCGTGCCGCGACATTAACTAAGGCATTGTATGGGAGGCAACCCAAAACCATTTACTCACTTTTTTTATCTTGAGAAAATAATAGTGTGTTGTTTGTACAGATTGAGTAAGGACAGTGCTTGAAAAGATGTACGGAGGGAAGTAATAGTTCAGTTTGGCGGATTGTCGACAATCACAACATACCAGATCCCTCCCACTATTTTTCACAATACGTCTTAAAAGTTGAGTCTGTAAAACTCGGCATAGTATGAATATTGTCGGCACATCGCCAATCTAATTGGCGTTCTCGATAAAAACCGCCAATGCACAGCTCACCTTAACTGAAAACTTTGTTATACTCTGCGTTTCACGAAGTAATGGAGCAAAATCGACTAACGTCGTCGAATGAGCAAAAACTAGATGGTCACAAGCCATAGGTTTAAAAGTTCCATTTCATTCAGTTTGTTTCACGTTGTCCCTTTTCACAAACTCACACTCGCACTTTAGCAGTTATATTTCTCACACTTTTAGAGTATTTTACATGTCAAATTGTGCTCGAATTAGGATCACATTGGTGCCTAGCAAGCCAGTACTATCTAATTTGGCATCAAAGGTGGGTAATCCAACTCCTAAGTTATTTGATCAGAATTTTTTCTCATTTTCATAATTACTGACAGTAGAAAATCTCTGTTGAGTCTTTGACTTACTGGGATTGTATATGTTATCGATTAAGACTTGATATTTTCTACATGATTTGAGGGACTACCATTTAACTTTGCTTTGAGTAGAACTGTTAAGCGGTGGGAATAGAAGTTTCTTTGGGTTTTCATTGAAATTGCGTTATATAAGCATAAGTTGCATTATCTGGGGTTGCGGGGTGAAATTTGAAAGGATGGGTTGAAACTAGACGTGTTGAGTTGATCGGTGAGATGAACAAAATCCGCCGAACTGCTCGGCGGTTCGCCTAACTTCCCCATTCTCCTTTTACTGAATACTTTATGTATTGATCAATTTGTGATTTTCGGTGGTCAATTTAATTCGCAAAATGCACTCGGTGACTCGCCGAAGGATCCCTTGCTCGCTCTTTGTCTGCGCCCTTGTATTAGTTGTACATCACTTTAAGCGATTGGCCTAACAGGATAAGGGCTTCGCCAACTAGCTTGGCTAAGAGATTCCACACCCAAAAACACCCTTTTTCTCCTGTTTAAAGTGCTATCTAACTTATCCTCGAAGTCTTTGCAGTAATGGCTAGATCAAAAGTCGCAAGGAGAAATGATCCACCCAGGCACATAAGAGCACGAGAGTTTAAGAAAGACTAAAAGAAAGCAGAACTAGCTAGACAAATGAAATATACCAATGAAGCCAGAGCAGAGAGAGGAATTCCCATTGAACCTAATGTGCCTTCATGGGCTTGAAGTTTTGTTAATGCAATACGGACCTTCGGAGCAGCTCAGGAGATAGGTCAGATGATTGCATCTAATCTTGCTGCTGAGGCCACGGCAAAGGGAAACAATGAGGACTAAAACAACAATACTCCTGCGACCATGGTTTTACTTCAGGGAAATGCATCGAATTCCCCGGCAGATAGAGAGACTACATAGACAGGACTCTTCTCGACCTCATTATATATCTTATCTTTCTTAAACTTTGGGTACTATTATTATTCGCATTTGAGGACAAACTCTCTTATTTGTGGTGGGGTGAGGCCCACCTTGTTTTGGTGTACGTTTGGGTTATCTGTTTTTAATTGTGTTTTTAAATTGCTTTATGATTGTTTGAGCTTGTAGCTTCACTTATTCATAATTGCAAAAGATTTTTTGCCCTTCCTAAATTTTTTGAATTTCTCGCACATTTTTGCCACATCTCGTGAGTAGAATGTGGTGGTTCTTTTGCAAAAATATTTTATCTCTCGATTTCGATCAATATTGATGACTTGAATAGTGCTCTCAATTGAACGAACATGAATTTAGGGCTACGATGAGGCCAAATTAAGTTGCATAGAAAATATGTGAACTCATTGTGATTAGCCATTTATCGAATTGATTTTCTTGTAATGACCATTGCACACTAGCGAAAGTGCGTAGTCTTCTTTGACTTAAGTGTCGATGGCTTGTATGATTAGCTTGCTTTGAAACTTGTATGAATAAACCTAGAATTTGCACTGTTAGTCTGATTGATTTAGAAATGTGTCCTCTTGAGATTATCTTAGGCAACTTTAAAGAGTGTGAGCCAAATTTGAGATATACCTCTTTTGTAGCCTACCCGTGAGAGTGTGAAACACTTTTCAACACCCTTTGAGCCTTCTCTTTCTTTGGAAGAACCTTGATGAACACTAGACCTTACTTGAACCACTACCTACAATCCTCTTGAGTTATGGTTTAGCGAATAGCCAACTTAAGCCAAAAGCCTAAGTTGGCGGTGTGGTGAAAGGGAAAAGGAGAAGTCAAGAAGTGCCAAAAAAGTCCCCCTTAACACATGGTATTGCATAAAAATGGAACCTCTTCAATTCAATTCAATTAAATTCAAAAAAAAGAAGAAAAAAAGAAATGTGGAATAAAGTACGAATGGAATCGAGTTTCAAGCAATTCATGGAGGAGAATAAGAAAAGGTGACTTAGAAGCACTAGAAAAAGAATTGATAAAGGAAAAGAAGGGAATGTCATGAGAATGCCACAACATATGAAGAAAAAGTCATTGAGCCTAAATGACCATAACTTCGCACTCAGCCCCATTACAAGTCTTAGAAAGTGCTTTATGATCTTGAGTAAGCCATATCGAAAGTCGATTAAAAAATAAGGGCAAACCTATGGGTGAAAACATGGATTGTGTTCCTCTTTTTTGAGTGTGAGCGTTGCATCTGATTCCTGATCTTGAATTGATTAACCTTTGTGTGTGAATATGGAATCATTCTTCATGTGAGGGCATTTAGATACTTTTTGTTGAGCTTGAACTTGCACAGGTAGCAAGTATTGTGAGCATGAGAGTCATTAGTAATGGTGTGTCACAACTTGAATCTTTGAGTACACATTTGATCCTTGAATAAGTAAATTGAGTCTTGTTGTGTGCACTCATTATTGAGTCTTGTGTAGCACTGTTTGAGACACCCTTTTTGAGGACAAGCAAAAGTTTAAGTTGGGGGTGTTGATGAGTCCACAAATTCGACTCATTGATGGCTTTATTTTGATAGAAATAGTGTCCTTGAATGCTTATTTTGTCTTAATATCTGATGAAAACTCTTAAGTTTAAGGTATTTGAAGTTTTAGGGGAAGCATGGACACTAAGTCGCAAAAAGGAACAAAAAGGCTGAAAAGAACAGACTCCGCCCTTTGTTCCAGTATGCAAAGCTCTAAAGAAAGAGGATAAAAAAGGTGATTAAAGGAGCAGTCGGCGCTTCACCGAATAGTTCTGCGAAGTAGTACTATACCGCGCAATGCTCCACAACGTGAAGATGTTGTAGGAAAGCACTCAACAGTGATGAGATAGAAGAAGGGCGAGTCGCCAAGTCATTCGGCGGACTCGACTAACCATGTTGAACTATCTGCCTACCCTAATTTCTGATGGCAATAAATACTTAACTCTCTATTAATTTTACAAGTTCCTAACCATTATTATTATTTTTATAATAAAATAGTACGTTTTTAGATACTAACCTTTAAGTGTTTCAAAGAGAAGTTAATCTCTCCAAGCACAGTTGAAAAATATGGCCTAAACTATGACAACGCTTATGTTTACCATCTACAGGCACACTTTTGTGTTTTAAAGCAACACTTTTGAAGTGTCACATTTCATTCTTTATAGGCAACACTTTAAACTCGTTTCTTGTTTTTCAACATTCAGCCACACTATAAAAATGTTGATGAAGGTAGTTATGCCTATATTTATGTGGCCACATTTATACAAGTTAAGCCACGACTTTCTAATTAAAAATTAAAATATAATAACAGTATTTTAAAAAAAATATATTATTATAATATGTATCTTGAAACCACTTTTTAAATAAGAAATATAAAGCATCACATTAAATAATAGAGAACCAAAAATATCTTCTCAATATAAAAACCTTTGAAATATTCTAATATTCAACATCAACAATTAGTAATGCAAACTATTTCAAAGGGTGCTATAGTACATTTAAAAAAATTTAAAACATCCAAACTTTTCATGTAGTATCATGAATAATATTAAATCATAAATGGATAAAATTGGTCAACCGAATCAACTCAACTTTCGGCCACCATTTCCAATTGCATCGCCATAAGTTTCCTACAGGTTCAAAGTGAAATTGAAACTTGATTAGATAGAAAGTAAGTATACTTAGAAAATGTAAAACTATGATTCAATAATATGTGAAACTGCAATAATGCAAAAATATAATATTAATCTACAATCTCGTTATGATGTGGGAGGCAGTAAATCATAGATTTGCAGAAACACATGAAAATAATGCTAAAATGTAGCACAAAAATGTAGAAAAATGTGGTATTGATTATAGAATGCAGAAATATAGAACAAACTTGAAGAAACATAATGTAGAAAATAAGAACATTGCATAAATGAAAAATATTGTACATATCTTAGTATTTAGTACCTAAATATAATCAAACCGATAATACCTTTCCAAGAGTCGGGCCATGAGTTGATCCAGAGGAACGTGGAATATTTTGGACTCTTGTAGCCCGTACACTACTAGAATCAACCGGAGATGGTTGGTTAGATCCGATAAACCCTTTTGCATCCTCAAGGTTTAGTCCAGGATTATTTTTTACTAACAATTTCATGAGATGTCGCAGTTGTTGCAATTCTTGCACTTCTTCCTTCAATCCTTGCAACTTTCTCAGTTCAACAACTTCTTCTTTCAATTCTTTAACTTCTTCCTTAAATGAATTGATTTCATCAGCATGTTTTTGTTTGATTTTGATGATTTCCTCATCTTTTTTTTTAAGAAGTTCTTGTCACAGATCTACCATAGCATCGAACTCGACCAGGTTGCTCATTTCCAGACACTGCCTTAAATGAGTCATCTGTTGTTTCCCCCAAGTTTTGACGATTTTGAAGTTCAGCCTATAAATAATACATTAGGAATTGTCTTGATAAAGCAAGATGAGAGCTAAAAGTCAAACACTGCCTTAAATTAAGTTCATGAATCTTGTCATCAGCCGACAAGAAACAACACATTGAAGTTACTGTACATTAATGATTACTTAGTTGAAAAGTCAAGGGCTTTGAAAAGCAATTAACGGTCAAAAGAATTACTTACTATTACAACTTCAGTTTCAGGATCAACTTGTTTTTCATTCTTTGTACGAGTTGCAATAAACATTTCAGCCTTTGATGGTTCCTCATTATTCTCTTTGGTTGCACGCTACAAAAAATGTAAAAAAATATAAGCAACTAATATCTAATCTAACAAAATATAAAAGATAAAAAAATATTTATCTACAAAGTGTCTAAAATGATACCAGTGCCATGCATACTCTTCCAAAATTAACAGGCCCCATTCGACGCCTCCATTTTTGTTTCTTTCTGTTTTAAGAATTTAAAGAACACATGGCCTGTAATATAAGAATAAGTAATTAATATATATATGGACTAAAGAATTAAATGCATTATTTGTATCTCACTTTAACCGTTGGAAGCTCCTGATACTCTATCAACTGGCGAAATTGAACTTCTGGTATCCAACTAGGACAATTTTTTAGCCGATCTTCTAGTGTTTTATACTTATCAAAATTATTCTCCTTAACATATCTCTTATGTCGCCTCCAAGCATCACGAAGACCATCCATCACCCATTTTTCTCCTTCTGCTGGAATTATAAACTTGTTCTACACAAATAACATATATGTTATCTTTACTAGTAAAATAGACATGAAAAAGTAGATACATAAAAGGTTGAGTATTCTTACATTGACATATTCCCACATGCGTAGTTTAGTATCTTTTGGCACAGCAGGACAACCAGTATACAACAAGGTGATGAATCTAGAGTTCCTAGCAATTGTTCCTAGAAAATTGCTCAAATCAGACACTCTTTTTTCCAGTTGGCCCGACAGCTTGTCCATGATCAAATGTCACCTCCTTTCTTTCTTCAAAATTTCTTGCATGAATAGTATTACATGTTGTCTGTCCTCGAACCTTTTTCTTCTCCAAAGTTCCTGATTTAATGTAAAATTAAATAAATAAGATAAAACATACTATACAACTATAGAATTTACAATGCAAGTAAGCTTATATAACTACCAAAAGAAGATTTAAAACATACCATCTTTTGAACAATTTATGTCCATATCTTTATCTTGAACACACTCATCAACTTCTTCTGGCGCAACACCATCAGCTACTTCGATATTGTTTTCATTAATACATGGAGATAGCATAGATCTAACATCATCTGCTGGCTGAATATAAGGTTCTTCTTCACCCACATGTATCCCATTTTTTTTCTAGAAAATGATTAAGACACATCGCTGGTACAAGTGACTTTTTCTTAGCTTTTTTGTAATTTTGTAGCTCCTCAATATCAAGTTAATTTTATTCTTCACCTTGTGTTCTTTCAGTCATATGGGAACTGCTAACTTCTTTCCTTGATAAAAGTTGGGTTACAGATTTGTGTATCGGTAGTTTACTCCTCTCTTGCATTTGAATTGACTCCTCAAACTGAATTGATCTATGCATAGGTTTCTTTCACTAGTGCATTTGATGTAAAAAACATACAATTCTTCCTTTTATAAGGTGGTGTCTGATCGAAATTTTTTCCTTTCATAACTAGATTCTTGCGTTCATTGTCAAGTTTTTCCTACTTAATTTGAAATTGTTTGCGCAACTCAACACTTGATCGAAATTGATAATCAAAACTTACATTCTTTATTGGACTTGAACCGTTGTTAGAATTCAGAACCTTTTTCTTTAAGGCTGCTCCTTGATTAATTCTTCATATAAAAATAATAGTTAGTATAGCAACTAATAAGAATTTAGTGCAGAAAATATAAAAATGCAGTGTAAAGTTTGCAGAAAATATAGAAATATAGTGCAGAAAATTAAAAGATAATGCAGCAATGCAGAAATACAGAAATATAGTGCAGAAATGCAGAAATATAGTGCATAAAATATAAAACTATGCAGAAAATACAAAACTGCAGTGCAAAGTGTGCAGAAAATGTAAAAATACAGAGCAGAGAATAAAGAAACATAGTGCAGAAAATTAAAAGATAGTGCTGCGATACAGAAATATAGTGCAAAACATATAAGATGCTGCAGAAAATACAAAATTGCAGTGCAAAGTGTGCAAAAAATGTAAAAATACAGAGCAGAAAATAAAGAAACATAGTGCAGAAAATTAAAAGATAGTGCAACAATGCAGAAATGCAGAAATATAGTGCAAAAAAGATAAAACAATGCAGAAATGCAGAAATATAGTGCAAAAAAATAAAATGTTGTATACCTTAAAAGATTTCTCAGACCAAGAAAAAGCAATCAATGATAACTTTATTGGAGAATTAGAAAACAAAGTGACCTTAAAAACTTTGTAAAATGAACCATTTTTAACTCTCAATTCCAAAGACTTAAAGCTAACTATGTAAGGCAAAGTTAAATTGTAGAGTAAAAGAAAGAAGTTATGATGTATCCTCAATATTGAATTCATCCTCATCCTCAGATTCATGTTCAGGTTCTTCAACAACAAATTCACGTGGATACACTTTAATAACTGTGGCTGGTATATCACTCCTCACTAAGTCAACTTCACCATTATCTTCAGGTATAGAAGGGCCCATTGAATGGTTATATGACTCATTTATATAACTTTGGGGGACATCAGATTCAACTCCATCACTCATACTAAATAATTCTCTTGGGACTGTTTTCATAACATAATGCTTATCATCATCATATGGATCCTTCACATAAAAACATTGATGAGCTTGAGATGCTAATATAAAAGGCTCTTCCAGAGAGCACCTTTTGTTGAAGTAGACATAAGTAAAGCCGTTAATATCCTCTTTAGCCTCATACCATTCACACTTAAATAAGACAACTTTAAAATGGTTGTAGTAATCCAACTCAAGGATATCAACTATTTTACCATAATAAGTTAGATCTGCATCAATCAGATTTTTATCCTTAGAGCTTGCAAAACTCGTAGTTAAAGCAACTAATGTAACACCACTATTTTGTGTTTTACGCTTTGCTTCACGTCGCCTTGTATGAAATCTATACCCATTTATAATATACCCTGTATATCTTTTAGCAACAGAATTGGTCCTCTCGATAACTGTTTTATCAAATCTGACACATCCTCATGCATAACATGAGCTTCAAACCATTGAGAGAAGCTTTGACTACGATTATTGGCCTTTCTCCATTTAGATCCTTTTCATTGATTACTAACCTCAAGTTCATGCTCTCTACAGAACAAATATTGTTATTTGTTAGCAATCAGATGAGTAAAATAATTTAAGAAGTATATACAATAAATGATATAATACTAGTGAATCAATTTACCTAATATATTCTAGAACTTCATCACAATTGTTCAGTATATATATCCATGTGCTTGATGTCGTGACTTGTTACCAAGAAAGGTTGGCTCACCCTTTTTTCCACCTAGTGGACAACCTCTATTAGGAAACAAGTTAGAAGTTTGCACATCTGGTGATCCACACTCATCATCATTTCGGGGTCTTTTGTTAAGTTTTGTTTGTACACTCTCATGAAAACATCTAGAGCATGAATTCAAACAGTCTGTAACTCGACGTGCCTCTGCAATACATCATTTCAGCTAGCTTCACACATCCAGAAATATCAGAAGCACTACCGTCAGGTACCTTTGCCTTTTTGAGAACACCACAAAAAATAGATTTTTCTCCCTTAGACATTGAAAAGCACACTGTTGGAAGCTTTACTTTCCTACCATCCTTTGTATCTTTTGGTTGAAGGCTCTTCCTAATGCCCATCTCTTTGAGGTCATAATGAGCATTTGGATGATCCTTCGTCTTGCCAGAAATATCCAAAAGTGTTCCAATTATACTATCAACTATATTTTTCTCTATGTGGATAACATCAAGCTTATGACGCTGCAAATTGTGTTGCCAGTATGGCAATTCAAAAAAGATTGATCATTTCTTCCATGGGCCATTATTTGATTTCTTTTGCACTTTTCCAAATACATTTTCAACATTCTGTAGGCTATTAAACAGATCTGTTCCCTGCAATAAAGGAGGAGGAGACCAGAATTCTGTCTTTCCATTAAAAGACTTTTTGTCAGATCTCCACGGATAATCCATAGGTAGAAAAACACGATGGCTCATATAACACATTTTTCGACTATGTTTTAGACAGAACGAGTTAGTGCCATAATTACAACAAAGGCAAGCCAACTTTCCTTTTGTACTACAACCGAACAACATAGCATATGCTGGAAAGTCATTAATTGTCCACAAAAGAGCTGCTCGCATTTGAAAAGTTTGATTTCTTGAAGCATCATATGTTTCTACCCCAAACTCCCACAACTCCTTCAACTCTTCTATTAATGGTTGTAGATAAATGTCAATGTCATTTCCAGGTGATCGCGGTCCAGGTATAAGCAAAGAAAGCGTAAGGTATTCTGATTTCATGCACATCCATGGAAGTAAATTATACACCATTGACATAACAGGCCATGTGTTGTGAGATATGCTCATGGTTCGAAATGGATTGAATATATCACTTGCTATGCCAAGTCTCAAATTACGAGAGTCTTTTGCGAATTCTTGATGCATGTTATCAAATTCTTTCCATGCTTGTCCATCAACAAGATGCCTTAACTTTCCATAATTAGAACGTTGCTCATCATGCCATCTTAATGATTCTGCTTTTTTTGAGCTCATAAATAGCCTTATGAGTCTAGGAATCAACGAAAAGTGTCTCAAAATTTTAATAGTAACACGATGAGGTTTCTTTGAAAACTCAAGCTAACTATCTACTTCAGGATGTTCAACAAATCGAGAAGCTCCACAAACATGGCAATACTCATCATCTTTATGGTTACCTCTAAATAACATAAAATCATTAGGACAAGCATCAATCTTTTTATAGTCAAGACCTAAATCCCTTACCATGGCCTTGGCTTTATTGTAAGATTCAAGAATGTTCAACTCAGGAATTGCTTCTTTCAATAACTCCAAGAGAGAAGGAAAAGAAGCATTGCTCCATCCATGGAGACACTTTAACAAGTATAAACGAATTGTGAATGATAATTTAGAGAAACCTTTACAACTTGGATATAGTTCTTGGCTTGCCTCATCAACTAAATTATAAAAAATTTGGCCGTCTTCATTTGGGACTTCACAAGATCCTTCATCTTGTGCAATATCTCTAAAGGTGTCATTCAACAATCCATCAATATCATCATATGAGTGAGCTTCATCCATATTAGTATCAACATTTTTCGGTATTTCCCATTCCCCATGATTGATCTGTAACACCCCGTATTCGAAAATAGAGATTTCAGATTCCTGGTGTTACAGGTGGCACTCACGGACACCATCCACGGACCGTAGATGGACTCATGGTCCATCCTGCAGGTCCGTGGTTCATGACAGAAAACTTCCCTAGAACTCAGTAATAAAATTTGGCTAAGTGTTGACCCACGGCCGGACTTACGGTCCGTAGGTCAGGTCATTGACCGTAGTTCGTGTCCGTGGATCGATGCCTCAAAAGTCCAGCTTCAGTCCCGATTGATGGTTTACCAGCACGGACCATCAATCGATCCACGGTCCGTAGGTGAGGATTAATAGCCAGTTAGATGAAAATATTGATGGGTCAATTTCAATTGGTCATAACTCTTAGCATAAAATGAATTAGGTGTCCCATAACCTATGATATGATAGATAATTGAATTATCTTTCTAACGCCACCAAGTTTGGTAAATTCCAACCTCCGAGTAAAAATTTATGCTCGTTTTAGTGAAGCCATGATGGGTAGACTCGACCTACGGACCGAATTGTTGGACCGTAGATTGAGTGACGGACCGTAGGTCCAATCTGTTGGTCACTCCGACAGCAATTAATTCAGGGGTCTTTTGTTC